TCCCTGACTCCAGTGCTGTTATTGTGTCTGCAGGAGGAGTTATGTGGGTGTGGAGCTGGTGCAGTGGCTGCTGGAGCAGTGTGTGGCGGTTCAGTGCAGGTTAATGGCGTCCCGCGTCTGGCAGGTGCTTCTGGAGCTGGGAATCCTACACTCAGGTATCTGACTGCTCATCTGGGTTGATTATTTGCTTGATCAGTTGTTCGTTTCTCTATTTGTTTGCTTGTTTTGTCCATTCCTCATTGTTCAGTCAGTCATCTGATCGTGCTATCTATCAATCATTCTGTCTTTTCCTATAGTTTGTTCTGTTGTTTATTATTGTTGTTCTATCTATCTATTACAGTTTTTGTTCTTTGCATCCAACTATCCATTGTTTGTTCAATCTATCCATCCATCCATCCATTTATCCATCCATCCATCATTTGTTCCATCCATCCATCCATCCATCCATCCATCCATCCATCCATCATTTGTTCAATCCATCCATCCATCCATCCATCCATCAATCCATCTATTTTTTTCTTCAATACATCCATCATCTATTCATCCATCCATCCATCCATCATCCATCCATCCATCCATCCATCCGTCCATTGTTTCTTTTGTCCATCCATCCATTCATCCATCATTTGTTCAATTCATCCATCCATATCCATCATCCTTCCATCCATTTATTTTTTGTTAAATCTATCCATCCACCCATCCATCCATCCATCTATCAATCAATCAATCCATCCATTCATCCATCCACCCATCCATCCATTTACCATTTGTTCCATCCATTCATCCATCCATCCATCCATCAATCAATCCATCTATTCATCCATCCATTATTCCATTTATCCATTCATCCATCTACCATTTCATCAATCCATCCAACCATCCATCTATCCCACCATCCAGCCATCCATCCATCTATTTACTATTTGTTCCATCCATCCATCCATCCATCCATCCATCCATTCATCCATTATTCCATTTATCCATTCATGCATCTACCATTTTATCAATCCATCCAACCATCCATCTATCCCACCATCCAACCATCCATCTATCATAAATCCATCCATCCATCCATCCATCCATCCATCCATTTACTATTTGTTCCATCCATCTATTATTCCATTTATCCATCCATCCATCCATCCATCTACCAGTTGTTCAATCCATCCAACCATTCATCTATCATAAATCCATCCATCCATCCATCCATCCATCATCTATCGTTTGTTTAATTCATTCATATCCATCCATCTATATTCATCCATCCATGAATGTAATAATTGTCCATCATTTGTTATAATGCATCCGTCCGTCCATCTGTCCATCTGTACATCCATCCATCCATTGTTTGTTTATGTTCAATCCATCCATCTGGATTGACCATCTGTCTATCCATCAATTGTTTATTCATTATTCCATCCATCCATCCATCCATCCCTCCATCCATCCATCCATCCATCCATCCCTCCATCCATCCATCCATCCATCCATCCCTCCATCCATCCATCCATCCATCCCTCCATCCATCCATCCATCCATCCCTCTATCCATCCAAACATACATCCCTACATACATCCATCCATTTTTTATTAATTCTACCATTACTTCCATCTCTATTTCTATTGTATAATTTCTATTTCTGTAATTTCCTTTAAATGTGTAGAATACCCTGTATTATTAGCATACTCCAATGTGATGTATACAGTATATAGAGCACACTGCTCAGAATATACTATACTGTATCAACCGGATACTACTGTATCATCCGGAAATATAATTGAGTTATTCAGTCATGATGTACATTTGTAGGCCAACCCGGAAGGCTAACACACCATGCATTTCCCTCTGGAATCTCTAATGGAGTTTTTTTTTATGAAGCCATTCCCAAAATTCCAGTGGGAAAATGCTAATTCTCTAGGACCTGCTCTATATTAGCCACACACAGCACAGTATGAACTGAAAACTGGTGCAGACGGGATTTTATGTTAGAAATTGTTTGTAAATTCTTCAAAAAAATGACAAATAAATTACATTTAAATTAATTTTTGAGATATTTACATATTTTTATTATTATTATTTTTTTAAATAATTAATAAATAATTAATTAATGCATTTTTTATTATTTTTATTAATTAGTTTTTAATTTAATAATGTCATAAATCATTTTCTTGTTTAGTTAAAATGCATTGTTAACACAACTGTATATTTTATTTATTAATACAATGGAAAATTTACACTGTACAGTCATTTAAAGAGTACTATTATTGTTGTATATACAGTACACAAGTGATAACACTGTCTTAGCATGTTAAAAACTCTTCTCTTTCCTTTATTCAGTTGACCAGCGGCTGGTGTTTGAAGACTCTAACACATACTATCAGTTCTCGTTCGAGGAGTGTGATGCTCAGGGCTGTGAATTTCGTAATGAGGAGGAATGGCAGAACGGTGTCCGTCTTTTACTTCAGCTCGTCCCCTACGTCCAGTTCCGGGTCGTCAGTCCGTAAGTACAAGTCAAGTCAGCATTATTTCCATAGCGTTTAACACGTATAGACCATATTTATGGATGAAACACTGTGCAGTACTGAGTGTGCTCAACACCAATGTTGTTTTAGTGAATACTATTGGTCAAAAGTGTACTCGTATATGTCAAATCAGCATTATTTCTATAGAGTTTTACACATATAGACCATATTTATGGACAAAACACTGTGCAATACTTAGTGTGCTCAACAGCAATGTTGTTTTAGTAAATACTATTGGTCAAAAGTGTGCATATATATGTCAGATCAGCATTATTTCTATAGAGTTTTACACATATAGACCATATTTATGGACAAAACACTGTGCAATACTGAGTGTGCTCAACACCAATGTTGTTTTAGTAAATACTATTGGTCAAAAGTGTGCATATATATGTCAGATCAGCATTATTTCTATAGAGTTTAACACATATAGACCATATTTATGGACAAAACACTGTGCAATACTGAGTGTGCTCAACACCAATGTTGTTTTAGTAAATACTATTGGTCAAAAGTGTGCATATATATGTCAGATCAGCATTATTTCCATAGCGTTTAACACGTATAGACCATATTTATGGATGAAACACTGTGCAGTACTGAGTGTGCTCAACACCAATGTTGTTTTAGTGAATACTATTGGTCAAAAGTGTACTCGTATATGTCAAATCAGCATTATTTCTATAGAGTTTTACACATATAGACCATATTTATGGACAAAACACTGTGCAATACTTAGTGTGCTCAACAGCAATGTTGTTTTAGTAAATACTATTGGTCAAAAGTGTGCATATATATGTCAGATCAGCATTATTTCTATAGAGTTTTACACATATAGACCATATTTATGGACAAAACACTGTGCAATACTGAGTGTGCTCAACACCAATGTTGTTTTAGTAAATACTATTGGTCAAAAGTGTGCATATATATGTCAGATCAGCATTATTTCTATAGAGTTTAACACATATAGACCATATTTATGGACAAAACACTGTGCAATACTGAGTGTGCTCAACACCAATGTTGTTTTAGTAAATACTATTGGTCAAAAGTGTGCATATATATGTCAGATCAGCATTATTTCTATAGAGTTTTACACATATAGACCATATTTATGGACAAAACACTGTGCAATACTTAGTGTGCTCAACACCAATGTTGTTTTAGTAAATACTATTGGTCAAAAGTGTGCATATATATGTCAGATCAGCATTATTTCTATAGAGTTTTACACATATAGACCATATTTATGGACAAAACACTGTGCAATACTTAGTGTGCTCAACACCAATGTTGTTTTAGTAAATACTATTGGTCAAAAGTGTGCATATATATGTCAGATCAGCATTATTTCTATAGAGTTTTACACATATAGACCATATTTATGGACAAAACACTGTGCAATACTGAGTGTGCTCAACACCAATGTTGCTTTAGTAAATACTATTGGTCAAAAGTGTGCATATATATGTCAGATCAGCATTATTTCTATAGAGTTTTACACATATAGACCATATTTATGGACAAAACACTGTGCAATACGTAGTGTGCTCAACACCAATGTTGTTTTAGTCAAATGCATATCTTTATATGTCAAATCAGCATTATTTCTGTAGAGTTTTACACATATAGACCATATTTATGGACAAAACACTGTGCAATACTGAGTGTGCTCAACACCAATGTTGTTTTAGTAAATACTATTGGTCAAAAGTGTGCATATATATGTCAGATCAGCATTATTTCTATAGAGTTTTACACATATAGACCATATTTATGGACAAAACACTGTGCAATACTGAGTGTGCTCAACACCAATGTTGTTTTAGTAAATACTATTGGTCAAAAGTGTGCATATATATGTCAGATCAGCATTATTTCTATAGAGTTTTACACATATAGACCATATTTATGGACAAAACACTGTGCAATACTGAGTGTGCTCAACACCAATGTTGTTTTAGTAAATACTATTGGTCAAAAGTGTGCATATATATGTCAGATCAGCATTATTTCTATAGAGTTTTACACATATAGACCATATTTATGGACAAAACACTGTGCAATACGTAGTGTGCTCAACACCAATGTTGTTTTAGTGAATACTATTGGTCAAAAGTGTGCATATATATGTCAGATCAGCATTATTTCTATAGAGTTTTACACATATAGACCATATTTATGGACAAAACACTGTGCAATACTGAGTGTGCTCAACACCAATGTTGTTTTAGTAAATACTATTGGTCAAAAGTGTGCATATATATGTCAGATCAGCATTATTTCTATAGAGTTTTACACATATAGACCATATTTATGGACAAAACACTGTGCAATACTGAGTGTGCTCAACACCAATGTTGTTTTAGTGAATACTATTGGTCAAAAGTGTGCATATATATGTCAGATCAGCATTATTTCTATAGAGTTTAACACATATAGACCATATTTATGGACAAAACACTGCAATACTGAGTGTGCTCAACACCAATGTTGTTTTAGTAAATACTATTGGTCAAAAGTGTGCATATATATGTCAGATCAGCATTATTTCTATAGAGTTTTACACATATAGACCATATTTATGGACAAAACACTGTGCAATACTGAGTGTGCTCAACAGCAATGTTGTTTTAGTGAATACTATTGGTCAAAAGTGTGCATATATATGTCAGATCAGCATTATTTCTATAGAGTTTTACACATATAGACCATATTTATGGACAAAACACTGTGCAATACTGAGTGTGCTCAACACCAATGTTGTTTTAGTCAAATGCATATCTTTATATGTCAAATCAGCATTATTTCTGTAGAGTTTTACACATGAAGACCACATTTCTGAAAAAGCACTGTGCAATACTCATTTTTAAAGCACTCATTTTTCTGGAAAAGCATTGTGCAATTCTTTGAGTGCTTTACGCATGTGAGTGGGTTTGACAAACCACCTGTAGGATATACTCTCTATTCTCCATATGCACTAGAAACTTACTTATAAACACTCCATTTTTCTGGAAAAGCATTGTGCAATTCTTAGCATGCTTTATGCAGGTGAGTGGGTTTGACAAACCACCTGTAGGAGACATACTCTCTCCTTTCTATATGCTCAGAGGAGAAAAATATTTAACTAACTTAGACTTATCATAGCAATTATATTCTGCTGCTCTCCAATGATTTGAAATGCTTCAAAAGTAGTCTCTGTGGATAATAAAAGCATCTGCCTAATGAATAAATTATTAAATGTATCAAGGCCTGTCACAATAATCAATATATGGACTTATCGCACAACGCATGGACATGACCTCAATCATTTTTGGTGATGCAATATATATCGCCCATACATTAAAACAATTCTAGCAACATTTTAGCTGACTGTGCAACATCTCTATCTCTATTAGATGCGTCAGTGTCAGTATGGTTAAAGAAACTCAATAGGATTTACTATAAATGACTATAGTATATTTTCATTGGGGTGTCTGACAACTGAAAATAGATCTGCTAGCAGATATCGCAGCCTCTGTTACTCTTTACCTTGCACTTTTTTGTTAATATTTTTATTATTAATTATTTAGGATATGCATTTCCACATTCTGATTCAAATGCCTCATTATTAAAGTGTTAAAATGACTATAATTAAATTAAATATTCTTCAGAATGAAATATGATGTGTTCTTTTGAAGAGTGTACTTGCATTGTGATGATATTATACTGTCATTCTGGCATAATTAGTGGCATAAAATAGTATTAAAATGACAATAGTATCGTTTATTGTCAATTTAATATTAATATTTTGATGCAATATATCCTACGACAAAAAATAGATATCGTGACAGGCCTAAATATATCAAGCTTTATTTATTTATTAGTGCAATACATGTGTAGTGCACTATTCTCCATGACCGTCTTTCATGTGATTGGGATGCAGCAGGAAGCTGATTGTTCTCCATGACCTTCTGATTTGGTTTTTCCCCTGTTAATCCTGTTTAACTGCAAATCATCCGCATGGAAGCAGGAAATGAAGTGTGTGTGTTTGTTTTGCGTGAGTGTGTGTTTGTATAGGATCATGTAAATGGGCTTTAGATGTGTATTTATGTCATTTTTAGAGATGCCATCTGTCCTGACCCATATATTATATATATTTTTTGTTTGTTATACTGTACCATTCACACATTTGGCGTCTGTTTTTTTTTTTTTTTTTTCGAATGGTAACACTTTAGTTTAAAGGTGCCATGTACTTCATTGGTTTAATAAGTTAAATTGTTATCTGATATCTACATAGTATGTTTATGGCTTCGGTAAATAAATAAAAAATCTCCATAAATGGTTTAATAAGCTCCTGTTTAAGATACTCCTTGAATCAGAAGGTCCATGACTGACCATATATGGTTTGTGTCATGAATATGGTCATGAATATTAACAGGAAATCGGATATTTTTAACTTACTCTGTTGAAAAAGTGCAGTGTTTCGCCATTTCCAGGTGTTGTATTTTAACAAACTCCTCCTAGGGATTTTATGCAATCAACACCAAAATTGGGTTTTGTCATCTTACGGCCAATTTATGTTAAATTGCAAAGATCTAGTGTTTTCTTCTAAGAGCGTGTCTGTCCAAGGTTCAGTGCTTTGCCAAGGAGGAGGAAGTACTTATAACTAGGGCCAGACGGAATCTGCGGCCGTTTTTTGCTATTTCTGCCAAGAATTTTGGTAAAAATCTTCAGATTTCTGCTGAATTATTTTGGGAGTATCTTAACTAAAACCTTAATATGTGAAATAATAAAATTATCTTTTAAACTTTTATTTAATGTTTGAAATGCAAATCCAATTAGATTCACTTTATTTGGTAAACAAAGCAAGTCTCTCATATAATCAACCCGGGCTCATTGTGGAAACGTAGCCCCACGGACGTTTCTGCGGGCCGCGATTTACGTCCCGGGAGGTACGTATTCGAGCGGTTTTTGTTTTTTCGCGGATCCGCGA